ACCTTGTTTTTCATGAGAGAACAAAGCACATAGAGATTGATTGCCACTTTGTGAGGGAGAAGTCCTTACTAGAGAGATAAGCATAGAACATGTGGGCTCAGGTGATCAATGGGCAGATTTGTTTACAAAAGGCTTAAGCTCAGGGAGAGTGAATTATATATGTAACAAGCTGGGATTATATGACATATATTCTCCAGCTTGAGGGGGAGTGTTAGAGCTAGCCGAATAAGGGTACATTAGTCATTTTATTTCTATTAAGTTATGTGCTTATGTGGTAGTTTTAATAAAGACTTCCTGTCCCATACTTAAGTGGGGGCAATTTAGTCTTTATACTACTAATTAGAGGCTAATCCATATTAGGGTCGACTGATAGGGTTTAGGCTAACAGGTTCGACTGTTCTCTTCTTCTTCTTCTTCTTCTTCTTCTTCTTCTTCTTCTTCTTCTGCTCTTCTCCTAGTTCGAACTACTGTAGCTACAGGACAAACAGTCATCAACAAACAACAAGAAATATCTATACCCCCCCCCCCATAGCAGTGATGTGATAAGGACCCCAAACATCGGTATGCACAATATCAAAAGGATTATTACTTCTTTTATTACTCAATGAATAAGATGTTCTACAATGCTTTGCAAGCTCACAACTCTCACATCTCAAATTGGACATCTGAACAGACTCAAATAAATCAAGAAACAAACTCTTCAAAGAACGAAAAGATAAATGACCCAACAGAGTATGCCAAAGCATAACCTGACTAACAGACTAAGAAACAAAAGACTTTCTATCTTCACTATCTTCCCAATGTTAACTCTCTAAGCAGATAGATCCCATTCGTCTCACGGCCAATCCCAATCACCTTCCTTGTCTCCAAGTCCTGAAAAACACATCGGTCAGGGAAAAAGGTTACTAAACAATTCTAATGTTTTGTAATGCTACTGACTGAAAGCAAATTAGTATTAAGCTTAGGAACATGCAGAACTGAAGATAAGGATATGGCATTAGACAACTTGATGTCTCCCTTGCCAGAAATGGGAACAAGGGAACCATCAGCAATGGACACCTTATCTCTACCAAAAGATAGTGATAGGTAGTGAACAGTGATGGCAAGCCAGTCATATGGTCAAATGCACCTGAGTCTATTACCCAACAATGTTCAGGGTTACTTGGAACTGAAGCATGATAAGCTGAGGCCCGAGTACCTGAATGAGCAAAAGCTGATGTGGGAGCAGATGGTGACTGAGATGATTGAGCTGAATTTCCAACTGAGTCAGGGCAGCCCGAACAGCAGCTAGGGTGTCTAGGGGTGTGCCTTTTGTGCCCGATGAGGAGGCACAATCAGTATTAACAGTCATATTAGCATTACCCCTTTTGTTCCTGAGTTTTGCTGGGACTAAATGAGAGTGCAGCTTCCAATAGGTGTCTTTAGTATGCTTGGGTTTCTTGCAATGTTCACATACTAGATCCCGCTTGTCTTCCTTCTTTATATTCCTCTCCGTATAACCCCCGGACTTAGGTTTGACTGCTGCCAAGGCTGGTGGGAAGGGCTGATGCTGCATCATAACCTTTCTCCTAGTCTCTTCACTGTGCACTAAGGAGTAGGCTTGTGATAGGGTCACACTGTCTCTTGTCAGTAGTTGCTGTCTCACAA